ATCCAAATTTCGAACATCCAAATTTTGAAACTATCACATAAGTAATAGTGTATTGCTCTAATGCTATATAATTGTTTGATAAATGTGTTTAATTTTGCAATAAGTAATTTAAATGTCAAAAAGAAGTGAGTTCACAGAGAAAAAAACTGTTTTTGTTTCACACAACTACTGAGAGGTTTCATTCATCCATACATCCAAATATCCACGATGGAATCTTTTTACTAAGGTAAGTAATTTCAATTTATTCAAGTTCCGTTTATTTATTGTCATATACAATCACTACCGGTAGTGATTATATATAGTAATTTTTTTTCTCGATACAATAATAACTTGTAACAAATGTTTTGTTCCATTTATGCCATCATCAATCGTCTGTATCTGTATCCATTTCTTCACCACTGTTTTCGTCCACTTCTTCAAACGTATCCATATCATCGCTTTCACTCGATTGATCAGAACAATTTACTTCTTTTTCGTAGGGTACGTGATATTCGGCTACAATTGCAAACATATTCAAATAGAATTAATAATGTGAAATGAAATAATATGACATATAATATATGTCCGTACTTCGTTCATCTCCAACAAATTTATTTAAAAATTCTTCCGTCGAAATCAACCCACTACACAAAAGTTGTGTGTCTGATCTGATTTGTTTATCACGCTCCTGATCACGGCGATGTTTTGCTTTCTGAACTGGGCATTTATCGTGTATTGCATTGTACAGATCATCACTTCTTCTACTCTCGTACAGTTTCAGATAACTGACAAATACGAAAAAACTGGCGTGTTTTAGCATTAGTCTATTCATTGCTGAATGATATGATTCGAGAGGAGATGTTGTACGATTGTCTAGGTCGCAGACAGAGATGGAGTTCTTAGAATTCTATAACAAATAAATAAACAAAATGAATTGTGAAGACTTCAGCATTGTATCTTTCTCTGCGTTTGAATAAATGGATAATGAAAATAATAAACTATGAAAACATACCAAATGTAGCCAGAAATTTTGGAAATATGCAAACAACTCTTCGAATTCATCTAACACACCAAAGTCAGTTGATTGCTGGACGACAATGTTGAATCCCTTAACAATTTTACTAGCTGGTAGTAATGGTAGACATAATAATTTCTTGTACACACTCCAGGCACCAAAACTGTTTTTGATTAAATTGTGAAGTCCAAAACTGAGAGTCTTACGACGCACTGCCGCACAAAAATGATACCAACACCCATTAATTTCAGTATGCGGATAGAAATCTGCTATGGCTTTCCGCATGGCTGCCTCAAAATCAGCCATAAAACGAGCTGGTTTTAGCTCGAAAATATTGTCTTCAATGTATCTGAACACAGCTTTGTATGCAATAGCTGTTGCTCTTGTCATTAGTACGAAAAAAACAGGATACACCTGACAAAAAGCATAGAAAGCATTAAAATTTGAAAAAATCACAACTTTCAAATGGCAAGAGCGAGAAATAGCATTAGTAAATTCATTATTTCGATGATAATTCGTACACGTAGTCATGTTAATTATCAAGTCAAAACTTACAATTGTGTCATACTCAATATGAATGGTCAACAACTGATGAAAGCAACTCATTGGAGTTACATCGAAAGTACCGTCAACCGAATAATTTCTCTTTTCTGGTGGAATGTGGTTTTCGATCAGGGATACTGTTTCGAGTGATGCAAATAGCGTGAATGAAAATTGTTCATGCTCAACTGTGTTGATGTAAAGACGTTTGGTTTTCCGTAAATTGAGTCCATATTCGATCATATTAACTTGCTTTTTGTAAGCATTGATTATGTCCGAAATTTCCTTCGGCCGTTTCGGATGGGGCTCGTTTTTACGGCGACGTAACGTACGCTCTATTTTCGGATAACGAATTTTTGATGCGCCCAATGGCCTCCTTTGAATATGAATAAAAATGATTCAGATAGTTGCACACCAAATATACAATGCAAACAAACAATTCACAGATAAACTTACGTATACAATATTGACGAACAAATAAACATCGATTTCACTTCATTTTCAAATCATATGAATCCCAGAACCATTTTTCAATGCATATAAAATATTCATTTCTCAACTATAATAAGTTTCATTCCAAATATCAAACGTTTGAACGTAAACAGTTCATACATAGTACTTCACAACAAAATATAATAACAAAACAAACAAGAAGATAGTCAACAAATGTTATTTACTTCGACATTACGAGAGTCCAAATATTCTGAGCTGGAATTTTAATGGGAAGGCCTTTCACCAATTCCTTCATACCCACACATGTGTCAATCGCAGAATTCCGCGACTGTAAGTCGTCAAAGATTTGTCTATGATCCGGATGGCAAGTGTGTCTCTTGTGTTTTCGGGTACATATTCCAGCTTTGACTTCAACAGTCGACCTACATTCTTCTGCATTATTTTCGGGATTTTTTCTCAGAATATATTGATAACAAGCATATTCTTCCTTTCCTTCCCTTTTATACTTTCTGTAGTACAAATGCCCCTCATCAGGAATCCATAGCAAAAGAGAATCTTAACGATGTCCTCTCACTATCTCAAATTCGACTGCTTCCATTTCTTTAAAAGAACGTTTAGTATTTCAATTAAATTTTAAAACACAACAGAAGAATGTGCATTGAAAGAACAAAATACGCTAACATCCAACAATACAAACATCCAGTCACACAAGAACTCTAATTTGTCGCATAAATGTGAGTATAATTGCAGAAAAGGCATTGATTTGTGTGACAAAAGATATGTGTATCGAAAAAAAATCAACTCTATTTTGAAAACACAATGGTTGTAACGTGTTGAGAGTACAAAATTGTCTATCATCCATTCTTCCAAAGAAATAGTCATACAAACATCCAAACACAGTGTTTGCAAGCACTTTATTTCATATCGGCACACAAACTCTCACAGCAATTCGTTAGCTAATCAATTCAATTGAAATTGCAAAGAGGAATTTAAAATTGCCGAAAAAAGTGAAT